CCGGAAAAGCCGTCTACATTGGCCATGGACGCTTTTCCGGAAAAAGGGCTTTTCCGGAAAAGCATCCTGCCAATGTAGACGCGCTTTTTCCGGAAATACTTATAACGAAAACGATTCTGTTTTAAGCATTTCCGGAAATTCATGCCAGTGTAGACACAGCCCTGGTGTGTAAAACTGAGATGTCAAGTGTGCAGGTGACATGGTGGAATGACAACTGGAGAGACAGGAGTATGCCTGGAGGTGCTGGGTGCCTACATGGGCAATGAATGCACAATTGTTGGTTCGTGGCTCTGGTTGTGTCTACTCTGCTGCAAGGGAGTACGTGGAACTGGCCCTTGGACGGTTTGAAATTCGACTGCTAAAATGTGTGTGCAGTAAAAACATATACGTAAGGAATAAAAAGATAATCAGCAGGGAGGAAAGAAAGAAAGCCATGACTATGCAGAACTACACCCAGGCCATAGCATGCTATCAAAGGAAAGAAAACCCAGCTTATCCCCAACATCCCTGCTCCCAGATGTGCCTTTACCTCCACTCCACACTCATTTAATGGGTGGAGGAAGAGAGGCTCGCGGTCTGGGCAGAGGTGCACATACTGTCGGTGGAAATTGTCAGCGACTTGCAGCAGCATCTTCTCCTTGGCAGAATTTGTCTTGTAGGAAGCTGGTAACTGGGACGTGTCAATGGAACTCCAGTCAAAGTCACTTCATGCAGTGGAAGGAGGCAAAGAGAGGCAGATAAAATGATGCTAAGTTCCAAGGGCTTAATCCCGACTGCAGCAGCACGCGGATCTCCCGCCAATTATTTCCCAGAAGAGTTGGCACAAATTAAATAACTTTGGGTATGTCTACACTGCCACCCTAGTTCGAACTAGGGTGGCAGTGTAGACATACCCAAAGTTATTTAATTTGTGCCAACTCTTCTGGGAAATAATTGGCGGGAGATCCGCGTGCTGCTGCAGTCGGGATTAAGCCCTTGGAACTTAGCATCATTTTATCTGCCTCTCTTTGCCTCCTTCCACTGCATGAAGTGACTTTGACTGGAGTTCCATTGACACGTCCCAGTTACCAGCTTCCTACAAGACAAATTCTGCCAAGGAGAAGATGCTGCTGCAAGTCGCTGACAATTTCCACCGACAGTATGTGCACCTCTGCCCAGACCGCGAGCCTCTCTTCCTCCACCCATTAAATGAGTGTGGAGTGGAGGTAAAGGCACATCTGGGAGCAGGGATGTTGGGGATAAGCTGGGTTTTCTTTCCTTTGATAGCATGCTATGGCCTGGGTGTAGTTCTGCATAGTCATGGCTTTCTTTCTTTCCTCCCTGCTGATTATCTTTTTATTCCTTACGTATATGTTTTTACTGCACACACATTTTAGCAGTCGAATTTCAAACCGTCCAAGGGCCAGTTCCACGTACTCCCTTGCAGCAGAGTAGACACAACCAGAGCCACGATCACATTGTACATTTCAAAGGAGGAGCGCGGAATATTGTGTGGGGGCCCGGACTCTATGTTGCGCTGCCGATTTGAAATGCTACACAGAGACCAGGGTCAGCGGGGGACTCCTTACAGAGGCAGCAAGTGAGGCGGGGGGAATCAACTAGTCGACTAACTATCTTATAAGCTTCAGGAGGTAGCGGAGTTAGTCTGTACAGGATAAACTTAAAAAACAACAAATAGTCTGGTAGCACTTTAAAGACTAACAAACCATGTAGATGGTATCATGAGCTTTTGAGGGCACAGCCCACTTCTTCAGATGACTGTGCCCACAAAAGCTCATGATACCATTTGCTTATCGGATAGTCGACTAGTCTTTAACATCCTTCCTCTGGTAATTCTGGAGGTTCTCATTATCCATATAAATGGATTCATTTGAATTGTGCTAAGCAATTGGCCATGATGCTATCTCATGACATGGAATTCCATGGACCGGCAGCGCATTGGCGAAAGTGGGTTTCCTCGCAGCTGTTTCAGAAATGCAGTCGCTCCTGCAGTCTTGCTACCCGACTGTCTGACACACTGGCACACACGTTCCTACTTACGATACAACATTCGGGATGTGGACTTGGATCTTCGACAGCTTCTCTTCCAGGTCTTGGAGTTCATCACTAATCACAAAGGCTTCCTTTTCTTCCTCCTCCTCTTCCCCGTGCTCTCTCAGGACCTCCATCATGCTCCCTCATAAGCTGCTGGGAGAGAAACACTCACAAGGGTTATTTTAAAACAAGGGTGGGAACCTTTTTTGGGCCAGGGGCCGCTGACCCACAGAAAAATCAGTCAGGGGCCACACACAAGTGAGAAACAACCCCCCCCCAAAACAAACAACTCCCCCACTGATGTGGCCCTCGACTGAGAACCAGAAAGACACTTCCCACATTCCCCTCGCATACCAGAGCCTAGGGGGACCCGGGCTAGTAGATTTTGTGTGCTCCAGCCCCTTAGGAGAATAGTGGGGGGACTGGAGCATCAGCATGGGCTCCCCAATGCTGGGGGAGAGCCCTGAGCCTCAGGGGCCGGATCCAGGCAAGCCGGGGGCCGCATCTGGCCCCCGGGCCTTATATTCGCCACCCCTGTTTTAAAAGGATAGGAAGAAGTAGCAGTTATGGAATATCCTGTCCATAGGGGAATTTCTTCCTGACCCCTTGGAGTTAGAACCTGATTGGTGCCATGAAGCATGAGGGTTTAGATCCCTTCCAAAAGACCTAATTATTTTAATCCTTACTCCGACTACTCTGGAGGTTCCCATTACCCTTATCAATGTCCACTTCATTTTTAAAAAAATCCTGCTACGCTATTGGCCTTGGTGTTATCTTGTGGCTAGTTGTGCATTGGGGAAAAAGTAGTTCTTCTCAGCCACTTCAGATGTGCTGACCTTGAGTTGTGGAACCCCGCTACGGAGTATTGGATAAGGCTGTGTTGAGGGCAGAGAGCGCATGGCGGGTCAGGGTGTACACGGGGAGACTTTTAACATTTCAATAAATAGCAGGCAGCAGAAATATACTTTGAAGACCCCAAGATGCAGAGAATCCTCCAGCTGTGATCTGTACCCCATGAAGGTTTTTCGCCTTCCTCTGTAGCATGGGGTAGAGATCACAGCTGGAGGATTCTCTGCATCTTGGGGTCTTCAAAGTATATTTCTGCTGCCTGCTATTTATTGAAATGTTAAAAGTCTCCCCGTGTACACCCTGACCCGCCATGCGCTCTCTGCCCTCAACACAGCCTTATCCAATACTCCGTAGCGGGGTTCCCCAAGGCCTGTTGTGGGGTTTTTTGGTATGTGTTTGGTTTGATTTTTTAAGCTTAAATTGATCCTACTGTGCGTTTTGAAGGCTGGGGAGATAAGAAGTGAAAATGGAGACGCAAGCCGTCTCTTTATCGGGCACTGTTTTGGTTGGCAGCATGAATGGCATGTGGAAGGAAGCCAGCCGGAGAAAGGCATTTATTGAAGAAATGCCCCCGAAGGGTGGAGAGGACGGAGTGGTTTCACATTGGACACAACCTGGGCCATTTGCTGGAGTTCTCCCTGTCCTGGGCTTTGGATTACACTGCGCCAGCCAGCCAGAGTGGAGGATCCGGCAGGAACAAACCAACTTGTCCCATCGACAACCTCATGGCTGTAGGTCTCTTTTATAAGATTTGTCAAACTCTCCTGCCGTCTGCATGAAACTCTCCTCTGTCTGCTCCCCACCCCGCTTTCCTCTGAGTGTTTGTACTGACCGGTCGTACTGATGCAGCCTCCGCCAGGGCTGACTGTGCAAGGCGCTACACCGGGACACGGAGGAGGGCACGCGCTCCCTTTTCTGTTCAGAGCAAACAGGGCTCCCCTCCTCTCCCAGGCATGGCTCCCCCGCCCAATTCCTTTAATCACTGCCCTGTGCAAATGGTTCACTTTGCTCCTTCTGCCTTGAAAGTCTGGCTGCTTGAGGTCTGCTGCAGCAGCCACGGTGGAGGAGCGGGAAGCAGGGCTGGCTTCACCATGAGGCGCACTGAGGTGGCCGCCTCAGGTGCCAGATTTTGGGGTGGGGGGCGCCACTAGGACCCAGAGTGTAGAAAATTGTGTCTGCTGCTGGTGCATAAGTAGGGAGCAGAGCAGCCCCATGAGAGGAGGAGAACAGGAAGGAGGCAGAATTGAGACCTTTCAAAGTTTTGGCCCAAGCGAGGGGAACATGGGGGTGTCATTTGAGCTCCCTGCCTCAGGTGCCAAAATGTTGTGGGCCGGCCCTGGCCAGAGGGAGTCCAACCTTCCCCTCCTCAGGAGCAAACCCCTGCCCCTCGCTTTCCAGCTCCCAAATGCTCCCACCGTGCCAGCCCCTCCCTTCTTGCCCCCCCCCCTTCTAATCCGCCCTCCCTCCCCGGCTGGGATAATCTGGGAAAACGGCCTGGTTTTCGGTTCTAAAAACACGCTTGCCTGAGACACCAAGGCCACGGGTGATGGCGTGTCCTGCCCTCCCCGCAAGCCCTCCAAAGTGTGACTGCGAAATGGGGTGCTCCCTCCTGCCCCCTCCGTCCTGGGTCCTCTGGGTGGCCCTCCCCTCTAATCCGCCCTCCCTCCCCGGCTGGGATAATCTGGGAAAACGGCCTGGTTTTCGGTTCTAAAAACACGCTTGCCTGAGACACCAAGGCCACGGGTGATGGCGTGTCCTGCCCTCCCCGCAAGCCCTCCAAAGTGTGACTGCGAAATGGGGTGCTCCCTCCTGCCCCCTCCGTCCTGGGTCCTCTGGGTGGCCCTCCCCTTGCAGACACCGAGTGCCTATGGGGAGACACGTGGGCTTGGAAGGGGAGCAGCCCCCCACCTCTTCGGGCTCTGCCGCAGCCCCCCGCTCTGCCCAGGGGACACGGCACAGGCGCTGGGCTTTTCCGGGGATGCCCCTTTTCTGCACCCTGCCCTCGGTGTCTCCTTTCTCCAGGACAGGCCCC